GCAGATGACACCACTCTGAGGGCCGAAAGCGAGGAGGAGCTGAGGAGCCTTCTAATCAAGGTGAAAGAAGAAAGCGCAAAAGCCGGGTTGCAGCTAAACGTCAAAAAAACCAAGATTATGGCAACAAGAATGATTGACAACTGGAAAATAGAGGGAGAAACGTGGAGGCCGTGACAGACTTTGTATTTCTAGGCGCAAAGATTACTGCAGATGCAGACTGTAGCCAGGAAATCAGAAGACGCTTACTTCTTGGGAGGAGAGCAATGTCCAATCTCGATAAAATAGTAAAGAGTAGAGACATCAGACTGGCAACAAAGATCCGCCTAGTCAAAGCCATGGTATTCCCTGTAGTAACCTACGGATGTGAGAGCTGGACCTTAGGGAAGGGCACTTGGGTAACCATGCAAAAGGTGTGAAATCCCTCCAAAGCTGCACAAATCCTAACCGGCCCAGTAGCAACATGCTGTCAGAGTGAAGCCTGTGCACAGATGAGAAACCTAACAAGTAAAGCCAGCCAATAAGTATGAACAGAAAGAATGAAAGAAAAGAGCAAATTAAATCATCTTTGATTTTGCTAGCAGGGTTTTCCCACTTTTGTAACACTTCCAATACCTAAGAATGCATATAGAACAAAGCCTCAGGTCAATGAAATCTATTTAGGCTACGTGACAGATTAGACTAAATTGCCCAGGATGGACCTCTTGGCTGAAATCTGACTCAGTTAACTGTAACTACTCCATAGTTTCCAATTTAACACAATTATATCATATTTGCTGTGGTTATAATGTCTAGAAGACATTTGGCCTGTTGGCTGCAAACATTGAATATGTGAAGGGAAGAAAACACTGCGGACTGAAGAAAGCAGGGCATGATGTTAATTCCTTCACTATTTGCACAGGCAAACTAAGTTGAAAGCAGCAAATAGAACCCACCTCTTGTCATTTCTGGGCTATTAAAATATCCCAGGAACAAATTTGCTCACACTGGGGTTTCAGCATCACTCCCATGTGAGTGTGAAGAAGAGCAAACCACAGACCACTTATTACAATGCAACTTGAGCCCCATCACATGCACAGTGGAGGACCTTCTTATAGCAACATCAGAGGCACTCCAAGTGGCCTGCTATTGGTCAAAGGACATTTAATAGAATGCCAAGTTTTCAAACTTTGTGTTTGTTTTTTTAAAAAAATACAATACAACTGTTTGGTTTGCTCCTGATACAATAAATAAATAAAATCCCTCCCAGGGATCAAACCTGGTATCTTTTGTGTGCAAAACATGAAGCCGGCCACTAAGATCAAATTAGCACTGCAGCTGTTTCCCAAAATGAATCTGGATTTATAGGATCATAGAGTTGGAAGAGATCACAAGGGCCATCCAGTCCAACTCCATTCTGCCATACAGGAGCACTTTGGAAATGCTGTTTTCACACATGGACCATGAAACCTACACACATGGACCATGAAACCTAGGATCTTCAGTAGATACAGGGGAATTTCAGATTTACATTACATGCTATATCAGAAGTAGCGACATAGAAAAGTTTGGTTCTGACTTTTGGGAGTTCTGAAAGTGTGAAGTTCCTGCCACCACACATGAGACATCCCATGTTTTAGCTCTATCTGTAGAAGATGACTATTGCCTAGGAGGTAAGAGAAAAAAATTAGCCAAAGAGAAAAAAACAGATGAACAAAAGCCAACAAAAGACAGAGATAAGCATCCAGCTTCTCTTTGGTTGCCTTCGTTGATTGTCTTCAGCAGTGTCTTGGGTTTACTTTAATATGGCAAATGTGATATATATAACTGTGAGGTGTAGTGGTCTGAATGTGGGACTAGGACTCTGGGAGATCAAAATCCTGTGCAGTCAGGAAAACTCACGGGGTGATTTAGGCGGAAGGAATAATAATTATAATAATAATATATTTACATCCCACTTTTCTTCCTAACAGGACCCAAAGAGGCTCACAACACAATACAATACAAATCAAAGCACATTTAACATAAAATACAAGACAAAAATCACACAAAGCATAATAACGTCCAGAAATAAGATCTAAATAAATATTAAGCATTAAAAATATTTTAAACCAATTACAATTATTCTGGGGACTCACCAATTAAATAGTACATTTCGCTAAGCTCACTGCAAATCGAACTTGCTGTCATGAGCAATTAGATTCCTTCAACAAAAGCTTGCTTCAATAGGTAGGTTTTCAATTGGTTCCAGCTTTTTAATATGCTCCTCAGAAGGATTCATGGTCTCCAGACCTTTGATCATTTTGGTTGTCCTCCTCTGGACATGTTCCAGCTTCTCTTCTGCAGACTAAACATGCCCAGCTCTTTAAGTCGCTCCTCATAAGGCTTGTTCTCAGGATTCTTCCTCTAAGATCACCGTCTCCCAAAGCAGTTACTATACTCCCAACTCAAGAATGGGAAATGAAATGTTGGTGGACAGGAAAAGACATTTAAAGATGGACTTAAAGCCAACCTTAAAAACTATGGCATAGACACCAAGAACTGGGAAGCCCTGGCACTTGAGCACTCTAACTGGATGTCAGCTGTGACCAGCCGTGCTGCAGAATTTGAAGAGGCATGAATGGGGGGCGAAAGGGGAAGGCAAAGAGGAAGGCACATCAAGCCAACCCTGATCGGGACCACCTTCCACTGGGAAACCAATGTCATCACTGCAGGAGAACATGTGGATCAAGAATAGGGCTCCACAGCCACCTACGGACCCACCACCAAGACACTTCACTTGGAGGACCATCATCCTCGAGCTACGAGGGATCGCCTAAGTAAGTATTCAGACAAAGTCCCATAGCAACCAAAGATATTTTATCATTTCCTCAGTCTGCCTGATTAAACATGCCCTGAGCATTATAGCATAAGTGGAAAATCGAGCTTCCTTTTATAGAAAAGCCTTTTTTAGAGAATGGTGACCTGTTACAACTAATGTTCATCAGTCATCTATTAAACAGACGTGAATGGCCCTCAGATTGACTACAGTAGATTTCAACATGGGAAAGCTTTTTTTAAGGCCTTGTGTCCTATCCAAAACATTGCGGGACTGATTTGGTCTAAAATACCCCACAAGGTACTGAAGAAAGCAGTGCAAATGCAAGAGTGAGAAGATCTTATACATACATGAATATAGAGTGTGATGCCTGTATCCACAGGAGAGACAGCCATGGTTTTATTTGTCCAAGTCAGGTAACATGTGTCCTCTTGAGGCATTTTCTAGGTTCCCCGGTGTGATTCTGTGATATTTTGGGGCAGAAAGTCACTTATTTCAAGAGTTTGCTATTATCTGTGGTTTTATGTATTTACCTGAAGTTCAGGAACATACCTTCCATGGATATGGGAGTCTTACTGTATTGTTGTTCATGAAGATTTTGATGTATGCCTTCAAGTCCATCCTTTATGGTAAATATATTCAGTAGGATTTTATTCAGCTGTGTGGAAGGGACCTAAATTGACCAAGATCATGCCATGGGTTTTCATGGCTGAGATCTTATGTTTTGAATTCCTAATTCAACACGCCAGACATGATATTTTGCTGGGCTTTTGCTGGCTAATTTTGAATACTACAAAGGAGGTGGAATTTTATTTTTGTGCGGGCATACAGTGGAACATCGACTTATGGGCATCCCAAGTTGTGAGCTTTTCAAGTTACGAGCTGTCATTCATCCATTTTTTTTATTTGACATGTGAGTCAGATGCGAGTTATGAGCCACTTCCCAGACAGCAGCCACTCAAAGAGTTTGAGGTGGAGAGAGAATGGGCAGAGCATTGGCCACTCCACCTGACTGCCGAGGGACTTTGCCATTGCTTGGTCCTGGAGCAGGCCAACAAGAGAGCTTGAGGGGAACCTCTGCAATGGTGAGAACAGCTGAAGACAACCCCAAAGGCAGGACAAGTTGGTGACTAATAATAATAATAATAATAGCCATATTGGAAGATTTAATAGGTTGTTATATTGCTATGTTTTCGGTTGGGACCCAACAGAATCTGTTGGGACACAACAGAATCACAACAGGATTCATCTCCCAAGAAAAGGGATTCCACTTGAATATTAGGAAAAGAATTCTTAATGGACAGAGATGTTCAACAGCTTGGGTTAATATAATAATAATAATAATAATAAGTATTAATTGCCTTTCCCTGCGGCATGAAGTGAGATACATCATCATTCAAACAAGAGGCAAAACTATTAAAAGACATATAAGACACACAGAGTTAAAATACAAGTTAAAATCCACCGATGAAATGCAATTAAAATTCACAATTTAAAAATGGAAGAGCAGCCCTTGTCCTTTGCTCTGGCTCTCTGTATCACCCAAATTTAGGTGACTAACAGTGGATGTTCACAATGCAATGCAAATTAAAAACAAAGTACATGCATATAAATATGAATATATATCAGGCATGGGCCAACTTGAGCCCTCCAGGTGTTTTGGACTTCAACTCCCATAATTCCCAACAGCCTCCGGCTCCATCCTTTCTCCCTTTAGCTGCTTAAAAATGTTAGGATGTTGAGGCCGGCCAATCAGAAACCATGAGCAAATTAGTTGGTTGAGATAGCTCATGCATGGGCCAACTTGGGCCCTCCAGGTGTTTTGGACTTCAACTCCCACCATTCCCAACAGCCTGAGGCCCCTTCTTTTCTCCCCCCAGCCACTTATGAACGTTAGAATGTTGAGGCCGGCCAATCAGAAACCATATGCAAATTAGTAAGTAGATCAGACATGGGCCAACTTGGGCCCTCCGGGTGTTTTGGACTTCAACTCCGGCTGTTAGGAATGGTGGGAGTTGAAGTCCAAAACACCTGGAGGGCCCAAATTGACCCATGCCTGAACTACACCACAGAATGAACGCAGTTCCACTCCGCCTGAATGCAATAGAACAATGGGAATTGCAGTTTGCAGAGGTGCCAGCCCTCTTGGGCATAGAAGGCTGAGACCTTGCTCAACTACAGCTCCCAGGATTCCTTCACAAAGTGGTGCCGAACCGCCTCCACCCGACAGTGTAGCTGGAACCACCCAAGCCGGCTCCCTCCTCCTTTCGGCGCAGCCTCAGAGCGAGTGATTCTCCTCCTCGGCGAAGCCGCTCCCAGAGAAAGAGAGAGAGAGAGAGAGAGAAAGACACACAGAGAGAGAGAGAGAGGGATGCCTTCCCGCCGGAAGGGCTGCCCTTTGAGCCGTTCCTCCTCATCGGAAAGGTATTTGCGCTGAGGGGAGGAGGCGTGGGAGAAGAAAGAAAGACCTGGAGGATGGAGGAGGAGGCGATGGAGGAGGGAAGGAGAGCAGGAAGGGGCAGACAATAGGCAAAGGGACGCGATGCGGGAGGAGAAGCGCCGACCCCAGCGCGCCTCTGGCTGGAGCAAGGCAGCATCTGCTGGCCCCTCTTCCTCCTCCTCCTCCTCCTCCTCCAGCTGCGCCTTCCTCTTCCAAGTTGGAGGTGGGAGCCGCACCCCAATGGAGAGCCTTGGCTGAGGAGAAGAGAAGGAGGAGAAGGGCTTCCCTGCGGAGCGCAGCATGCCGACATGGGGCTGCCTTGACCACACGCCCAAGAGGAGGAAGAAGAGGAGGAGGAGGAAGGAAGGAGGAGAGAAGAGGGCGCGGTTGGCCGGGTCTTAGAGCAGAAGGAGAAGGCATGGAGGCAGTGCATGGGGCTGCCTCTCCTCTCAAGAGCCAAGCCAGGCACTGCTGCTGCTTCTGCTGAAGGAGAAGCCTCCACCAAGCCTGTGGGTCCTCTCTCTGAGTGTGGTCAACCTCATGGCGAACTCAACCGAGCTGGGCGGGAGCAGCAGCGTGCCCCACTTGCCTGGAGGCCTCCTGAGCACCTCAGGCCTGAAGCTGGCCTCGCTGGGCCTCATCCTGTGCCTCAGCTTGGCAGGCAACGGCCTCTGCGCTTGGCTGATCTTCAAGGAGCGTCCCCTGCACCGAGCACCCTACTACCTGCTGCTGGACCTGTGTCTGGCGGATGGACTGCGCTCACTGGCCTGCTTCCCCTTTGTCATGCTCTCGGTGCGCAGCGGGGCCGGGGCCTGGCCCCACGGGCCGCTCAGCTGCAAGGTGCTGGCCTTCCTGGCCGTGCTCTTCTGCTTCCATGCCGCCTTCCTGCTCTTCTGCGTGGGCGTCACCCGCTACATGGCCGTGGCCCACCACCGGTTCTATGCCAAGCGGGTGACGGGCTGGGCCTGCCTGGCGGTGGTCTGCATGGTCTGGACCCTCTCGGTGGCCATGGCCTTCCCGCCTGTCTTCGACGTGGGCACCTACCGCTTCATCCGGGAGGAGGAGCAGTGCATCTTTGAGCACCGCTATGTCAAGGCCAACGACACGCTGGGCTTCATGCTCATGTTGGCTGCCGTGGTCGCCGCCACCCACTTGGTCTATGTCAAGCTCCTCTTCTTCATCCACGGCCACCGCAAGATGAAGCCTGCCCAGTTGGTGCCAGCCATCAGCCAGAATTGGACCTTCCATGGGCCGGGGGCCACCGGGCAGGCGGCCGCCAACTGGACAGCTGGCTTTGGTCGCGGTCCCACCCCTCCAACCCTGGTGGGCATCCGCCAGAATGCCACCCACAGCCAGATTAAGCGGCTGCTGGTCTTGGAGGAGTTCAAGATGGAGAAGCGGATCTGCAAGATGTTCTACATGATCACCCTGCTCTTCCTGCTGCTGTGGTCCCCTTACATTGTGGCCTGTTACTTGCGGGTCTTCGTCAAGGCCAGCGCCATCCCCCAGGTCTACCTGACCACCTCAGTCTGGATGACCTTTGCCCAGGCTGGGGTCAACCCTATCCTGTGCTTCATCTTCAACAGGGAGCTCAGGGTCTGCTTCAGAGCTCACTTCCTCTGCTGCCAAAGCATACAGAACACCCAAGGCACCCTTCTGTGTGATCTGAAGAATTTTGGGATGTAGCTTTTCCTCCCCACGTAGGAGAACGATCCACTATCTCTATGCTGTTCTTTTATATATGCACTTGCCAGATGGGTATCTCAAGGAGACACTTCGACGTCTCGCCACCATTAGGTTTTAAGAGGGTATTTATTTATTTATGTGTTCCGGGATTTGTGTGCTGCCGGAAGGTGGGAGGGGAGGGTGGGCAGCGGAAATGTAGAAGAATAACACAGGGCTCCAGATTGCTTGGATTGCTGCTTCTAACGTTCCTACAGTTAATTTTGACATGGATCAAAAAGGCCATAATTTTTGTGTTCCGTTTTTTTAAAATGCAAATGTTTCCAGTTTTGATAACGGCTACACAATTTTATTCACAGTGTACAATTTGATAAACAGCCGAGACAAAAAATTTTATACTAAAGTTATTTTTGATGGCCTCAGACTGTTGTATTACAATGTTTGTTTTTAAAAGGGTTCACAAAGAAGGAGAAACTGGTTTAAATGGTGATTCTTGGGGAGGAGCTTTGAAATTATTATGATTTTGGTTAGCGAGCAGCAACTTTCTTAACTTTGCCTGAAATAGAAACACAGGATGCAGTAGTAACCTACATCCTAATTGTGCTCTCGTTTTTAGGTCATTTCCTATTGACCTAAAGAGAACGACGTTCACTTTGATGTTGACATCAATTAATTTTTCGTGTTGCACTTTTCCTTTGGTATACTTTTCAGAATCCTTTGAAAAATGATGATTTTAAAAACAAAGAGGTTGAAATCACGTATCAACTTTCAAAATGGTCAATATCAGGTTTTTAAAATACACTGACTTTCATACATATTGGCTTTTTAAGATGTTAGCTACAAACTGGGAAATCTGTGTACATTTTGACTGTTTTAATAAAATCATTGTCCAGTTTTTGTACATGAATTGGCGTTGGAGTAATTGGGTTTTCTGTTGGCTGCCTTCCCTGCCTAAGGGCAGCTTGCCTATAAAAAGGGAAGGCGATTTGCTGTCTTCCAGATGTTTTGAACTGTAACTTCCCTTGTTCTTTTTTTAGAAAGCATGTTTTAGCAGTATAAAAGATGAGGCCAAATTGGAAAGATTGGGAAGGTCGAATGGGGTAACTAACAAAACAAAAAAGTATGGTCTACAATGGCTAAATTCAGGGGTGGAAAGGAAGGTATGAAAAGATGTAGCTTCCAATCTTGTCCACTGTAAATTATATTGTCCTTTCTTAGCTCCTTATACTTCTGCTCTCCCCTCTTCATTTCTTCTCATTGGAGAATATTTTTTCTTCTGATCTTCAGTTTGGTTCTGTTATCAGTTTCATTTCTTCTTGTTCCATATATTCTCTTGATGATGACCAGTCCGTTACTACAGTAGAGTCTCGCTTATCTAACCTTCGCTCATCCAACGTTCTGTATTATCCAACGCAGTCTGCCTCCTGCCCGAATCCACAGCTGTTTCAATACATTTCTTTTGGGGCTAAATTCGTTAATGCAGTAATTACTACATAACGTTAAATGTATTGAACTGCTTTTTCTAACAATTTGTTGTAAAGCATGATGTTTTGGTGCTCAATTTGTAAAATCATAACGTAAATTGACATTTATTAGGCTTTTCCTTAATCCCTCCTTATTATTCAACATTTTCACTTATCCAACGTTCTGTCAGACCGTTTATGTTGGATAAGCGAGGCTCCATTGTATTTTGTTTTTTGATTGTCTGCTGAGATAGTAATTGGGTTAATTTATCCATGTTCATTATGTCAATTTTTTTTCAGTGTCCAATGTTTTATTGTTTTTTTTTTGTTCTCCATCTTTGAGCATATGTTATTCTAGCTGCAGTCACTAAATAATTAAGTTGCTGACTGAAAAGTTGGCAGGTTCGAATCCAGAGAACGGGGTGAGCCCCCGCTGTTAGCTGCAGCTTCTGCCAACCTAGCAGTTTGAAAACATGCAAATGTGAGTAGGTCAGTAAGTATCGCTCCAGCTGGAAGGTAGTGGCGCTCCGTACAGTCATGCTGGTCACATGACCTTGGAGGTGTCTATGGATAACTCTGATTCTTTGGCTTAGAAATGGAGATGAGCACCAACCCTCAGAGTCAGACACGAGGAAACTTTTACCTTTTATTAACAAGCTGGAACGGGTCAGAGAAGGGTGACCAACACCATGCCCTTGAAGAAGCAGCTTAGGGAACTGGATATGTTGAACCTGATAGCCATGCTGGAAGATTTAAAAAATTGTCATGTTGCTATGTTTTCTGTTCGGACACAACAGAGCAATGGATTCATCTCCCAAGAAAAGAGGCCCCACCTGAATATTAGGAAAAGAATTCTTGATGGTCAGAGCTGTTCAATATCTCGGGCTAAAATAATAACAATAATGTGAAAAGATCAATAGGTACTGCTCTAGCCAGAAGGTAATGGCGCTCCATGCGGTCATGCTGGTCACATGGCTTGGAGGTGTCTATGGACAACGGTGGCTCTTTGGCTCAGAAATGGAGATGAGCACCCCCCCCCCCCAGAATGGGACATTACTGGACTTAATGTCATGGGGAAACCTTTGCCTTTATTATCTTTATTTTTATCTAATTCCAAGTATGTGATTCCTAATAAGAAGTATTCTGGTTTCTATTTTTATATCTAGTATTTTCCGAATTTCCACTTGATTTTTTTCCAGTTTTTTTTTGTTATTTTGCAAGTCCACCCCATGTGAAAAAAGGTTCCTACACGATCTTGACATTTCCAACATTTAGCTTGGACTTTTGGATAATATTTTGCTAATTTTTGTGGTGTTATATACCATTGGCACTTTACTTTATATCAATATTCTTTGAAATCGTACAAATAAGTGTATTTTAGTTTTTTGTTCCATATTTTTCCCAGCCTTCTAATCTAACTGTATGTCCAATATTTGCAGCCCATTTGACCATGCATTCCTTAGTTTGTTCTGTTTCTGATGACCATTTTAATATTTTTTGTATAGCTTCATTATTAATTTCTTATCTAATCTGTCACCTTTATTTTGTCGCAGAAAGTATCTTTGTCTATGAATCCTAACTTCCCTTGTTCTTGATGTCATGGGATTTAGGTAGTCCAAAAATATGAAAGTCTGTCTATTGAACTGTGATGTGGGCAGAACAACAGAAGACTCTCTTATTAGATTTGTGGACCCAGTTCAGAAGACCTTTCTTGGCAACAGGCCCCATTCAGCTCAGTAAGACTAACTGTGTTTCTGATTAAAGATACATAGGCTTGGATTGCTGTGTGTTACAAAAAGAACTATGTTTCTAGTAGCTCGAGGTCATGAACACCCATCCCACACATCTGCTAAAATTAATTTCAGTTTTAAAATGGCTCTTTGGCTCTTTATGCCAGAAGAGTCTCTAGATAATTGTGAATTGCTAATTTTAGTAGACAAAGCAGTTCCTGCACATAATTGCTTGGCTGCTTATCCGCCCTGCGTCGTTATACCAGAGATTATTTTTAAATTATTAATGTCCTGGGATTTATGAAAGTGCAGATTATGCAGTGAAAAGTTTCTAAAAATATAATGGAGCTAACAGTTACTTCAATTACTTGAGATGAGGACACTTTCGGAAATGCACCAGAAGGTTACATCTAATTTATTTTAAATACAATCAGAATGTTTTATGTTGCAGCAGATATTGATGTTTCTATGGTACCTCACAACTAGATCATCAAGAAAAGAACACCTGTTTTTCAAATCTTGCAAGAACAGAAATGTAAAAGTTTCCAGGAAGTTTCCAGGGCTGAAGTAATGGTAAAAATACATTGGTGATTTTGTATGTGTTGAAATATATGGAGGATTTGCTTACTTGCAAAGTTAAACAGACATTACTGCTTTAACAATATCATTCCATTGGCTTGGATGCTGCATGCCTCTTTGGATCTTCTGTCCATTTGGGGTGTGACTTTCATGAATTTTTGAATGCAGTCCTTAGTGCCATCTTTCACTCTGTTGTGGAGTGTACTCCAACCCCCCTGAACAATGTATTCAATAATATGGGCGGACCAATGAAAATAATTCCTTCTTCAACTCCAGAAGGCATATCCAGTAAGCCAAATCCAATTATGGAAAACCTAGAGCAGGTTGTTGTCCTGAACTTTATTGTTAATTCCAACTAGAGTAGGCCCGCTGGGGACGTAATGGGTTAAACCACTGAGCTGCTGAACTTGCTGACTGAAAGGTTGGCGGTTCAAATCTGGGGAGCAGGGTGAGCTCCTGTTGTTAGGTCAGCTTCTGCCAACCTAGCAGTTCGAAAACATGCAAATGTGAGTACATCAATAGGTACCAATTCTGTGGAAAGGTAATGGAACTCCATGCAGTCATGCCAGCCACATAACGTTGGCTCTTCAGCTCTTCAGCTTAGAAATGGAGATGAGCACCACCTCACAGAGTCAGACACAACCAGATTTAATGTCAGGGAAAATCTTTACTTTTACCTAGGCCCACTTGGATCAATGGCTTTTTACTATTTACCTATATTAGTGGTTCCCAACATTTTTCACCAGGGACCACTTTGACCAGGGACCACTCTCCAACATTAGGACCAAAAGGGTTATGAATCAGTTTTTGGTCAACTTTAGATTCGATTTGGTTACTTGTGGTGCTGATTCAGAAAAATGCATTGGATAGACCACATCAACTCTAGTTTCTGATACAGAACATATGCCATCCAGTAGTCACGATCTAATCACCCACGGAAAACTAGATTTAATAATCTAGAGCTGATGTGGTAGTAAGTAATTTTTCCTGAATAGTCAGCCTCTCCCCTCCTGGCATCTCCATTGCCTTGGCACTATAAGAGAGTTTCACAAGACCAGTTGCTTTCGTTGCTGCGTGGTTTTGAGGCAACAATGTAGTAATAGTGAGGCTGCGGACCATATTTTCCTTCTTGCGGACCACTGGTGGTCCATGGACCACAGATTGGGAACCACTGACCTATACCTTGAGGGTTTGAAGCGAACTACTCAATGGATCCCCTCCAGTTGAGACTAACCAATAAGATTCCAGCTGTTGTGCTTGAGTCAACATAAATAACTGTACCATTTAATAGGTTTCAAAGAGTATTAAACTCAAAATTCATTTATTTTAGTATGACAGTTTTGAATAAGTACAGTGATAGCAATGCTATTGTGAAATGCTGCAGGCAGGTTAACTCCTGTGCAATCTGGGGCTATATATGATTGGTGGAATGAGGCTTTTATACTCAGTAGGACTTGCCCTCCAGCTAAGTTTGCATAAGATGGCATCCTGCGTATATTTTTATCCAGCTGGGAAACTTGTTGAATAGAAGCTTTCAAGTTTCCAGCTGTGAAACATGAAAATAGAATCCCATAACAAAGAAATGAAAGCTTTTATTATATAGACTCCAATATAATATACAGGTCTCCGTAGTCATGTGCTGAAAAAGGAGAAAGATTCTTTAGGTCAACAAGCTTAAATACAGTTAATTTCTACTTTTTAACTGTATTTAAGCTTGTTGACCTAAAGAATCTCTCCTTTTTCAGCACATGAAAATTTGGATATTGAATTATACTTTGGATATTGAATGATACTTTACAATAATAGCAGCACTACTATAGTGTAGAACATTTCAGTAGCTTATCACTTATTTCAACTAGAGCAGTCATAGGCAAACTTCATCCTTCCAGGTATTTTGGACTTCAGTTCCTACCGGCTGTTAGAAATTGTAGGGACTGAAGTCCAAAATACCTGGAGGAATGAAGTTTGCCCATGCCTGAACTAGAGGATAGCCATTGAATTAATGGAATTTACACAAATGTTGTATTGCCATTGAATAAGTGATTTGAGTGGCAACCAGACTTTGCTTCTCAAGCCATTTTAGACTTCAGGCACTAGGATTCCTGACATTTGGCCAAGTTTTTGGGCTTCTGGAA